TATTCCAGGTACATGGAAAAATTCCATTATCTTTTATTCCATTTATCCACAAATGTTTCAAAGTCCTCAAGCGGAGTCTTCCTCTCTAGAGGTGGCTATGAAGCTGGATGGTGTGTCACTGGTATTTCAAATACCAGCAGGTCCCTCAAGGTGAATAGGTTTCAGCAGTTTTAAGAACAAAGGAGGAACGGGCTGTCCAATTCTGAGGAATTAGCTATTAAAATCCTTATGAAACTGATACATATTAATTTGTTTTTAGTTTTTTAAGTTACTAAAAACATTCTAATTATATGTGTGGTTTTCATTATATTTCTGAATGTCAGCACTTGCCGGTCTATGCAGAACACAATATTGAGCAAAAATTCAGTGTGACGTGATACCACAAGCCACATGAAACTTTCAGAATATTTAAATGTAATGGTTATTTAGGACTACTGTAAACAAGTAGTTAATGTAGAAGTACAAGGGTACAAAAACAACAATTTCATGTGAATGGTTATCTCCAGAAAGAATAGTTATCTCAGAAAAATGTGATCTGGGTGGTTTGCAAGGTAGTCCCAAATTTAACTATGATAGTTCCTTTTTTTAATGAAAAAAAAAAAAGGATCTAAAATAAATGTGGCTAAACGTCATGGTTTAATAGATGGGTGTTTTTTCAAAATATACTATTCAAAGGAGAACACGGTGAATTAGAGCTTCATGTGTCTAGCTCCTTCAGATATGGGGTTCCAGTTTACTTCTTCATCCACTTTGAACACGGAACTTCACTGTTATTTCAACCGGACAATTTCTCACCACACGAGAAAAGATATTCATGAAGACCCAGGGCAAACACAGGAGTAAGTAGGAAAGTATTGTTGTTAGAGCTCTGATTTATGCACACATGGAGCTCGTCCCCAGCAAATTTAAACGTATCTCCGCGATCAACGGATGGCAGCAGACATGGTCCATCAGTAGTAACGGTCTCGTCTTTTTAGGGTGCCCCAGAAAAAAGGTCCATCCAAACGGTGCTTTCTGGCATCTCCTGGCCAGTGCAACCCAAGGCAGAGGCCAACTAAGGAGGTGATGGTGACGGCTTTTGAGAATTCCTCAGGGTAATCTCGAGAGATTTTCTCCCAGGACACAGGATGATCATGGGGGCTTAGTATGAAGACATTTTAAAAGAATAATCATTCTATTGGGGGCTCTTACAGCTCTTATCACAATCCATACGAACATCCATTGTGTCAGGCACATTTGTACAGATGTTGCCACTATAATTCTCAAATCATTTTCTTTCTACTTGAGCCCTCGGTAGTTCATCACCCTGCCACCTCCACCCTCACTCCCTCATGATCCCTGGATAACTTATAAATTATTGTTCTTTGCACGTCTTACACTGACCGCTGTTCCGTCTCCCTGGGAGGGGGTTATATGTCAACCATTGTGATCAGTTCCCCATTTCTCTTCCCACCTCCTCCTTACCCTCCTGGTAGTGCTACTCTCATTATTGGTCCTGAGGGATTTATCTGTCCTGGAGTCCGTGTCCACCTCTGATCTGTACCAGTGGACATGCTGTGATCTAGCCAGATTTGTAAGCTAGAATTGGGGGGAGAAATCATTAAAGAACTAGAGGAAAGTTGTGTTTCATCGGTGTTATACTGCATCCTGACTGGCTCGTCTCTTTCTTGTGACCCTTCTGTGAGGGGATGTCCAATTATCTACAGATGGGCTCTGGGTCTCCACTCCATCCCTCCCCTTCATTCACATCGACATGATTTTTTGTTTTGGGTCTTTTATGCCTGATATCTGATCCCTTCGACACCTCATGATCACACAGGCTGGTGTGCTTCTTCCATGTGGGCTTTGCTGCTTCTCAGCTAGATGGCCGCTTTTTTATCTTCAAGACTTTAAGACCCCAGATGCTATATTTGAAGACATTTTAAGAAAATTAAAAATTGCATTGCTGAGAAAAAAGGCCAAGAAAATTCTGCCAAGGAATTGTGTTCTATTAGAATGGAATTCAAGGGTAGAAAGGGTTATTCTATGAGAATTTTGTTAGAATACTTTATCCCATACACCCTCCATCCCTGATCTCACCCCGTCAGACATTTTAGTCCGAAAATTCAAAGAATATTGAAAAGAATTAAGTTTTCAGTGCCTCAAAGATACCAAAACTGCTATCTTACTGTGGTGTAAATTAAAGCGTGCACAACTGGACAGGCAGAGTTAAAGAAATGGAAGCGCCACCTTCAGGAGACCTAGATGAAGGAAATGCAGACAAGCAAAAGGTTTACATTTTCCTAGTTTTGCTCAATAAAAACTTCTATACTTTGCTAGCCATACGTTTGATTTATACTTGTATTATCCTATCTCTGAAGTCTTTAACGAGCCCCAATTTTAATTCACTTCTCTATGTTTTCCAGTGTTTCATTCAACTTGTTATAGTTTATATACCTAGTTCTTGACTTTGTTTCCTTCATTTAATACAGGGGTCAGCCATGTGGTCCAGAGATCAGCTACTGTTTCTGTCAATAAAGTTAAAGGGGAGCAGTCACGCCCAAACATCTGCTTTTTCTCTAGCTAAATTTCCACAAGTCGAGTTGAGTCCCAGTAAATTCTAATTTGTCGTTTGTGAGCTAAGAAGAACTGCATCACAATTGTTCACTGACTCCCAGGTGTTTATGTGCAATGCTTCTACTCTCAAAGACAAAAATTACACTTCTAAACATACTGACAATAAAAGACAATGATAATGGGGGGGGGGGGGATTGCCTGACATATGACAGAAACTTGACTGAATGGTATCCTATGAGTCCAGGACTCCCTGAAGTTGTGACAGAAATCAACACTGCCAGGAAACCTGGAATATTTACTATCTGGCTCTTTAAGAAAGCTTGCTAATCTCCTCTCATCTTGAATAGGAGTCCCCTGAGCCAGTCTCCCCCTCAGCACACAGAGCTTGCTTATTCTACTCCATGCATAAACAGAGCTCCACTTAATGACTGCACTGTAATAATCCTGGAGTTAAAGGGCAACTAAGTTGGTCCCCAAAGGAACCTGGTGGCACAGCGATGAAGTGCTCCGTTGCTAATGGGAGACCAGTGGTTTACACTCATCAACAGCTCCGTTTAAGACAAAAGACAGTTGGCTTCAAGGCAGGGCATCATTATCAAAGACAAAGGATAACATTTCAGGATGATAAACAGGTTAATGCATCTCCCTCCCTCCCGCCCCCTCTTTTTACCAGAGGATGGGCTCTGTTCCAGACCAGCACGATAAAAATAATGTCCCAATAAACAGTCGCATGACTTTTCCCTTGTCAGCGTATATGAAAGTTAGGGGCACAGGATGCTACAGTCCATGGTGTGAGCGACAGCAGTAGGAGAAAGTGTGAAATATTGTGAGATATGACAAGCGCATGTGCTACCGGAACATACGGCACCGATAAGACGTGCCCAACACAGAGCTGCCACAAATCTTCCATTTTAAAAAATGCAGTAGCTGCAAAGCAATACCAAAGTGAAGTGTGATAAAACAATGTATGCCCCTATACGTTTGTTGCATGTAGTATGTGCCTAACAAAATGCCTAAAGGAGAAAATGAAATAAAAAGTAACTACTTTCAATGGCATCAAAATACAATTAAGTATATACTTAAAAGGCAAACAAAACCACTACACTGAAAATGGCAGAACAAAAGTGAGAGCGAATGGGGAGGCTGACAAGAGTCATCGGTAAAAATATCAGTATTAAAATGTCAGTGTTCACACAAATTAATCTAGAGTAAACTCAGACACTTTAATAATCTCAGCAGGCTTTGCAGAAATTGATAAATCGATACTAACAGTTACAAGCAATTCTGAAAAAGAGCAAATCTCTACCTAACCTTAGTATTTACTATACAGCTATAAACGATAAAGTGTGGCATTAGGATACTGGGTAAGGAGATTTCCAAAACAGAATCGAACTGCAGTGTCCAAAAGTACTAGCCACCAGCCACATGTGGCTGTTTAAATTTATGCTTAAAATAATGAAAATTAAAAATTCAATTACTCTGTTGCATCAGCCACATTTCAAATGCTCAATAGCCACATGTGACTAGTGACTTCCATACTGAAGAGCCTAGGTATAAAACACTTTCAACACCGAATAGAGTTCTACTGGACAGCACTGGAACAGAGTCCAAAACATACTCAACACAAAGAATATGCTCACTGACCTTCAACAATGGCACCAAAGCTATTCAATACAAGGAAAATTCTTAATCAATCATGACACTTGTACAGGGAAAAGATGAACCTGACCCCTACCTAATAGCATGGTAGAATTAGAGAAAAACGATACATACAATACCCAAAGCAATACAGTGCTTAGAAGCAAAAGTAAAATATCCTTATGGCCTGTAGTAAGGCATTCTTTACCTAATAAAGAAACCAATGATAATAAAAAAAAGATAAATTATATGTATCAAATTAAAATTTCAATTCATAGACATTGTTATGAAATAGGAAAACAGAGTAGGAAAAATATTAATAAAAAATATCTGACAAAGTATTTATATCCTAAATAGAGAGCTACAACTCAACAATGAAAATATTACACAAAAATATTATTTTGATTTTTTTAAATGAGGAACTATACTTCTAGTATTTACTCAACAAATAAAAATTTATGCCCACAAAAATATTTGTAGGCTGATGTCCACAGCAGCTTTATTCAGATCAGTTTAAAAGAAACCTTATGACTAAATTATCAGGGAGGAAAGAGATAAACTGTGCTATATTGTTATATTTTTTACTACAGGATTTTAGTCAGCACTAGAAAGTAATGAATGTAAAGATCTAGATGAGTCTCACATGCTGAAATGTACACACTGAATGATTACATTTATATGAAGTCCTAGAACAGGCAAAACTTATCAATGAGGACAGAAAAAAGTCGTCGTTTCAGGAAGAGACGAGTGACTGTGGAGGTATAATACAACATTTTTGTGAGCCTAATTTATAGCCATTTACTGACTGATCCTCAAAAGAAAACCTAAAACAATAATAAAAAATTGTTAAGCCATAATGTCCAATTTGAAAGCCAGTAAGAACTTTACAAAATTATGACAAAATTTCAGATTTATTTTCATGTTCTATAAATTCAGGCTACAAAGGAAATACCACTGTCCTGCCTAACACTGCTTAACATTCCACCAAAACATTTTACAAGATCTCCTACGGCATAAACAAGAAGATACAAATAAATGGCTAGGACTTTATACCCATTTAGAATCTAAGGAATAAGATTTTCCATTTTCAAGTGTACTTGACTGTGAATCTCATGGCTTGCAGAGAAGGGAGAGAAGCAGAGGGATTGGGGAGGGTGGTTTACAACGAGAATAGAGAAATGCAATTTCCTTGAGACAAAATGTCAAGCATTTCCCACAGAACACTTTATTGGTGGTTTGATTTCAAGACCTGCCCAGATGACCAAATATAACCTGTAATTGTAAGTACAGGTCTACAAGGGGGTACTCAAAAGAAAACACAACTTTTTGAACGCTATGTATTTGAATGTTTTACAAAACAACCTTCTCACTTTCAAAGTACTCTCCATTACACTTAACTGGCACAGAAGGCTGCCATGGTGAAGTCCCACCTGCAGCACTCTACCTGCTTCGCTGAGCAATGACTGAAGCGGCCTCTGACACCCAGAGGGAACGACAACCACGAGCAAGCGCAGTTTGGGTCTGTCTCCTTCCTCTTACAACTGGTGTTAAGGGTTGCTGACAGTCTGCCATGTGCTAGAAAACTGGAATCAGGAGTGGAGGCTCCACCCAGAGCCAACACACTATGTACTATGAGAGGTGCTGAGAGCCGCAAAGCAGGCCCCCTGGAGCCCCTGTGAGAGTTTAACATATTAAAGAACTACAGAAAATGGAGAAATAGCTAAGAGATTTTTTTAAAGACACAACAAAATGAGTATCTAAAAAAAGAAGATATTACAACTGAAGGGACAATAGCTAAAGACAATGGGACTTATCAACAGATTTAAATCAGATGGAAAAGTCAGCAAATTATAGGATAAGATCTTTATAATTACAGATGCTGAAGAATAAGAACAGAAAATCAAGGTGGCTCAGCCTGGTTTCATGGAATTACAGAATAAGAGACTTAACATATACATCCATGGGAATTCCAAGAGGAGGAAAAAGAAGGAGGAATAGAAAGGGTATATGAAGCTACAATAACAGAAAATTTCCAAGTGTAATGAAAGAAATAAATCTGCAAATCCAAAAAGCTCAAATAACTTCTGAGCAGGATACATCCAAAGATATATACAGCAAGACACATCATAGTTAGGCTCTCAAAAACCAAAGCTGGAGAACTTTGAAAGCAGTGAGAGAAAAGCAAACACTCACATACAAGAATCCCATATAAGATTAAGCGCCAATTTCTCTTCAGCACACTGAGGGGCGGAGGATAAGCTATGAAAGACGTATTTTAAAGTGCCGAAAGAAAAAACAAAAAAAATAAAATAAACTATCAGCCAATAATACAATGCCCAGTGAAACTAACATTAAAGAATGAGGGTGAAATAAAAACATTCCCAAACAGAAGCTAAGAGAATTCATATCTTAAGGGCAGTTCTGTAGATGGAAGGGAGAAGAAACTAGAATTTAAAACTATATATTAAAAGACCACTAATAAATAGGCATTATAGCAACTAACAATAGATTATACCTCACTGAATAAAACAGGTACAGTGAATCCACCTGATAACAGGTAAGGGAGAAGGAAGGGCTCTTTTTTGCAGAGTGCCTATGAAAAATTGTGAAGAAAATAACAGAGCTTGAAAATCACCAATGTACACACATCAGTGATAAAGACTGGTTTATAAAGGAACCATCAATGCGCACTGACAACTCCAGGGGGTTGTTGGATGGGGGGGGGGTAAGTGTATTACTTGTGTGGTCTTAAAGTGATGGGGCCCTAAAAATGGCTTGTTATAGAAATTCTCCTAATGTCTTCTATACTATTTTTCCCTCCAGACTAGAATATTGAATTGTACTTAGCTGACCAATAGAACAATTCTACGGCCTTTCTTTTAGGACACTGTTATTTAAAAAAAATATATATATATATATACACACACACATATTTTTTTTTAATCAGAGTACTTTATAGAATATTCCTCAGTTTGAGATTTGATGTTGCTTTGTGATTAGATTCAGTTTATATAGCCCTTGCCATAACTGGAAGTGTATCCTTCTCAAAGTACCAAATCCAGAGCCATACTAAGTCCACCAGCATGGCACTGGCATGCCCTTCACTGAAATCGCTAATTTTGGTCACACATTCCATTGTTGAATTGCTATTTCTCTTCTTGCAAAAAAAAAACACCCCAAGTCATTTCTGGGACCCCAAAGATCCTGTAAATATAACACCTCAGAGTAAAAGACTGATGTCTACTTAGTTGCACTTTAAATCTGTTTCCTCTAAGCCAGAGATTCCTACCCTGGGATGCACGGCTCCCAAGGTTCTGTGGATAAAATTCCCGGGGCCCCAGGAAAGAGAAAAGGAAAGAAGGTATTAGTCTTCACTAACCTTTAAATGCTTTGTTGTTGTTCTTCTTCAGTTATAAATACAGGCAACTAACAACAGTTCTTTTAGGAGACCTGCATTTTTATTACAAAGAAAACCCACATATATTTTGTATTGCAGCTTTTGAGCTTGTCAAAATACTGTACAACGGTGAATCAGAAGTATTGCTATCCAAACAGAAATCTTTATTTAAAAATGAAAATGTGAAGCTACCGTTTCTCCACATATCCTCCATCGAGATCTATTACATTTCCAAAGACCGTATTTCTCTCTCTCTAACCCTTCCCTGAAGAATTCTGCATGTATTCTATTGACACCACATCAAAACTGCACTTCTGACATACTTTAATTTTTTTTTTTGCTTCTGATATACTTGAGGGACTCAAACAATGTTCCTTTAAGATGTTGGGTTTAGTGAACAAAAAGAAGCCTGAAGAGCAACATCAGGGCTGTTGGTTGGATGGGCAAGGTTTCCCCAAAACGCTCACAGGACAGCTCATTCCTGGGCACAACTTTCCTGGCCTTTTTCCTACGAATGCCCTTTTCAATTTTCCATGATTATCCTGCCTTTCAAGATGACCTCTGGGAGATCTCAAAATACAGTCACTGTAGACTTTCTGCCTTGAATTTAACTAGCTCACCTTGTCACATCTACTTGGAAGCCTTTTTGATTAGATCTTGTTCTTTGGATCACTTTGTTTCCAAGATTCATGCCCATTACAGTACATTCTCAAAAAAGGCTTCATTAACTCATCTTGCTTAAAAGACTGATGGAAAGAGATGCTCTTTGAGCTAGCTTATCTGCACACGTTTAGGCATGCATCCAGTCAAAAGCCAACATCTAAAAATTAAAGATTAAATAGCTCCAGTACCAATAGTAATTGTGGTAATTTTTCATCAGCTTCTGGGCTTCACACAGTTTCTTCTCATTCCTAAAGCTGACAATGGTCTTCCCTCTCTTGGTTCATCTTTGAGGTATTCCCAAACTTACTTAAATAACCTGATCCAACTGTTGTTTTATATGGGGGCAGCATTCTCGTAAACTCATTCAAAGCTACAAAAATTTGAAAAGATGCCAATTTAGTTTGCTAAAAATATGTGCTAGCTTTGACCCCAAAGTTGTTTTTATCACAGAAGGCACTCTGAGACAAGCTATTACCAAGGGAACGTGTCTGTGGTCATCCACTAACTGGAGAGGCGTGCTTAAGCTCGTTTTGTGTAGAAAACACTGTGCTATGGACTGGAACCCTAGCAGCGTGCTTCAACTCACAATTACACACGCTATACAGCTTTCATGTTAAAATACACCTGTTAAAATGTTAAGTCGTTTGCTTTTTAGGTAGTGTGATAGCTGGATTTCAAAATAGTTCATTTAATTTTTATGCGATTAATTTCATTTACTTACAAAACATGCCATTCTTAAAAGGGGACAGATTGCCTAAGGGTTCCACAGAACAGTTCAAGGACCCCTGCTCTGTAAGGTCTTTCACGTATTTGGAAGTATGCCATAAAGCAAGAACTGAACCATTTACAGCTTTTAGCTTTGTCCTAAAGCAAAATATAAAAAGATGTATGTCACAGATAGTGAACATTAAATCTAGCCTCTGGATATAGTTGCTAGATAAATTCATTAGCAGTACAGCTAAATTATTCAAAATATTAATTTCCAACTTCATGTATCCAATACATACATAACACACACACACACACACACACACACTGGCTGACAGCTACAAAAATGAATCAAGCCTGAAATGTCTCATACAGAAACCCAAAGCGATTATATCTTAAAATAATTGGCTAAAAACAAGGTATTATTTACCATCTGTCTTTTGGAAAATTTTTTAAAATTTCTTTAATGATCGGCTGGTAGCAGGCATCCCTCTCTGCTTTCCCAGTTTCACTCCAATCTCTCACAAACTGTTTCAACGTGGACTTTAACTTATCCATGTCAAATGTCGATGCAGGCATCATCATCTTTCCATTCCCCTGTTCAAAAAACAGAAACCAATTAGCCTCTGCCAAAGTCATCCTCTTGAACACAGTGGAACAGACATGCTTCTAAGGGGCTAACAGAGATGGTGTAGTGGATAAGTCACTAGCCTCTCACCTCAACCAGGGCTCAAGGCAGCTTGAGATCCTAAATGAAAAGCGTTTGGTGGTCTCCCCTCAATCCTCAATAGATTAAGGTCCATTAATCACAAAACTACCATATAATTAAGCAGTGTTGACTCAGGAGAGGGCCAGAACTGAGCTGCTATGGAGACCAAACATCCTCTAAGAGAAGGAAGAAAGTCCCTCCAGGTCAGAGATGGGGCAGCATGGAGAGGCTCACAC